GTGTGAGTGTGACCAACTTCGCTACCAAGGTGCTTGCCTCAGTGGCTCCAAATTAGGGCGTCTGGTTATCAGCCTCCATATTCCTTGGAAATAAGAAATGGGTACATTGGTGAAGTTATTATTTTGACCTTGTAGTTTTTGATTGATAATATGTGCACATAACACCAATGCATGTGGTCTAGAGACTGATTTCCTTCCTCCTTCCTAACACGGGTGCTTCCTCTCTGTACTTGCTCTATTCCATTCTGATTATCTCCCTCCTTCCTGCCTAAGCAACGTACCAGAAAAGCATGGTCAACCCATCTCCCTCATCCCCAGTATTCCTCCTCAGGAACAGACTGCCTGTGTGGCTCTCCAGGTCTTTCACAGCAGTGGTCTGTGAAAGAACCAGCTCAGGGAACCAGCTCAGGGCAAGACTGGTTTACTTGCCTTCCTGAGACTGGAGGGAGGCAGGCTGAGGAAGAGCTCCTGAAAAGTTTCCTGCCCACCTGTTCTTTGCCAGGCTTTCCCGGCACAGTAAGGTGGTGCAGCGCACTGCTGAGGGAAGCTCAGGAAGTCTGACTCCCCAAACTCTCTGTAGTCCAGAGTTGAAAACAGAATCTCACCAAGTAAGTTTTAAGCTGGTCCTGTGGATGAGGCAAGGCTCTGTGATAGTCAGTGGGGGACAGAGAAGACACAAAGGAGGAATGGAGGAGACCAGGAAAACAGTGAGTGAACTGCAGGCCAGCATCTGTGAAGGAAGAGGAATCCTGAGCCAGGCTCTGTCATCCAGGAACAGCCCCCGAGTGGTTTTGCTAAGGGACCACACATGTGGTCTTCATGTTGATAATCTACACCATCAACTCTTTTCCAGGATCAACAACAGATCAAGCCGTTTTTGTAGGTTAAAACAGAGTAGTTGGTCTTCTTTTTCACTGAATTAAGAGGGTCTTTAGAAGCGGTGTAAACTGTTTAAGCTCGATCTCCTCCAGCCATGTCCTTTGTTAGCTTCATTTTTCTTTGTGCTGCCATCTTAATCTGGACCCCACAAAGTTCACGCCATTAGACGTGACCCCTTCTAAGGAAGTAAGGGTGATGTTGTAACGAGGGAATGAAGATGAACGGACTGGGTGCAAGGTCAAGACTGATGAGGGGTTGTGCATGATTTATAAGCAAGAGACATGGATGGATAAAATGTAAAAAGCATCAGAATCCACTTACAGTGTAGAGCCTAGCTATACGCCAATTCCTGGGTAAATAAGACACAACAGTTAATAAGACCTGACAAGGCCCCTGCCTTCCTGGTGCTTACAGATGCTTGGGGAAGACAGCTGTTAGTAACTCGATTATCAAGTATGTGATTGCAAGCTAAAATAAGCCCTCCAAGGGAAAGACACAATGTGCTCTGCGGATGTGGATGCATGGGACTGTGAGACCTGAGAAGGCTTTCTCAAGAACAGCTCCCCCTGCTGAGGTTCTTGGGTGGTCTGGGACTGTGAAGGTGATCTGATTTTTAAGTCAGACTGTTTTTCAGTTAGGAATGGTATTTGTCCACTGGTCACCAAGCAGACTGACTGCGACCAAGCATTTATCACTTGATGTGTGTCCACATGCAGTTGGTGTTCCCGGCACGTGGGGAAAGCGTGTCCTGTCGTCACAGGCTGGGTGTGTTGTCTCTAGTTGGCTGTGGTTTTTCCATTGCTCTGATTCTTGCTTTTAAATTAAGTGTTCAGATTAACTTAATTCCTACTGTTTCATTTTATTGTACACAATAAAATGTGCATTGCGGTTTAAATGTGAATCATCCACTTCCCCGTTGAGAAGGTAAATACGGAGATAATGCTGATGCTGCTTATTTGGTGACAGTTCAGTGTTATCACTGAATAGCACCCCAGGTAAAAATAGCTTCGGCGGGTGGACTGTAAAGACCGCCCCTCTATGCCTATCTATTACTCTCATGGAAAGATGTGTCCTCCTACACACACACACACACACACACACACACACACACACACACACACACAACTTCCCTGGAAACTAATCCCTAACCTTGCACATGCAAAGCATGAACTCTGCCCTGAGCCACATCCCCACTCCTTGCATTTTCAGAAGAGGGGGTATTTAAAAACTTAGTATTTGAGTTACTCTAAATCTTCATAATTGGCTTTTTAGTAAAGGTAAATGTGTGTATGTGTGTGTTACCAATTGCCATGATGCTGCAAATGAATAAAAATCTCACAATGTAATTTCTTGGATACTCTAAAAAGCAGTGTGCTTCATGTTCAAACAAATACTTTCATTCACTGAACATTATCTTCAGTAAACCTTCTATGTGCACAGAACTATGCTAACTAACCATTGTGGCTAAAATGGATTCGAAAGCCACAGTTCCAGCATTTAAAGGAGTCCATCCGTTCTCTTAGGGGCAGAAGTTATACAGGCAGGGAGTATTATGTTTGCTCTGTGGAGGCATCATTAGCAGGTACAGGGGAGGAGTGTGGTCAACTAAACCAACCAAGGAGGAAGCTGGTGAAAGAGGCGCCACTTGAGTTGAATCTTGAAAGATGAAGTACTTCTATCAGTTAAGGAAAGAGAAGAGAGTGTTAGCAGAGTGAGGTTCCTGTGGGAAAACAAAAGCCATTGTTAACAAAAACCCAAGCTGCCTTAAGCTTAGGTTTTTGTGGTGGCACACACCTTTAAGCCCAGCACTCGGGAGGCAGAGGCAGCCGGATCTCTGTGAGTTTGAGACCAGCCTGGTCTAAAGATGAATTCTAGGACAGCCAGGGCCACACAGAGAAACTCTGTCATGGGGAGAAAAAACAATAACAAAGCTTTGCTATAAGGTGCCAGACTCCGGGATTTGTTACGTGGTTCAAACAAACAAGGTACAAAGAATAAAGAGGTGCTGACCAACGGGACTCAGATGACTCCATTTGAAGTTACCAAAACCCCTCTGATTATGATAACCATATCCTGAACGCTAGGGGCAGTGGTATTGAAATATAAATAGGCAAATGCTTCTTCCATGTAGACTGAGGCACAGTACTCAGTGACTCTTTGCAAGTGGGAAACGAGGAAGAGAGAGAGTAGAGTGTGGATGCCTCTCATCCAAGTGATCTTGCCGTAAACAAAGGGAATGTAGGCATTCCCCAGGATCGGGAAACAGAAACCTGGGCAGTGCGTATGTGCGGTTGACTGATTCTAATGTATAAGATAGAATCAGGGGGTGGGGGATGGGAGAGATGGTTCAGTAGTTAAGAGCACTCACTCTTGCAGAGGACCAGGGTTCTGTTCCCAGCCCCAACTTGGAAGCTTCCAACTGCCTATAACTCCACTTCCAGGGCATCCAAGGCTCTCTTCTGGCCCCTGAGGCATCAGGCATGCCCATGATACACATACACACGCAGGCATTCACACATGCATATAAAATAAAAATACATCTTAAATAAAATAAGATCAAGAAGGTCTACTGATTCCTAACAAATGTAATCTCCTCCCCTGCCCCAACCTCTGGCTTCGGTTCAGGTGAGTGAACATGAAGTTTCACCTACTGCTCACCACGGCCGTGAAGCACATATAACCCTCTGTCATGCCCGGGGCAGTTCTCACACTTATACACACACTTTTCTCTCTTTTTGTCTTTTCTTATTTTTTTTTTTCTTTTTCTTCTTTTAATGAGACAGGGTCTCTCTCTGTGTAGCCCCGGCTGTCTTGGAACTCACCATGTAGAGCAGACTGGCCTCGAATTCGCAGAGATCCACCTGCCTCTGTCTCCCAAGTTCTGGGATTTAATTCCTGGGATTAAAGGTGTGTGCCACCACACCTGGCCCCCTTTTTTTCTTAAGTGACCCTACAATCTAATAAGCACTGACTGAAGTTCTAGCACAAACTTGTTAAAAACCAATGAGAAGCTGGATGGGGTGGTTCACACCTGTAATCCCAGCACTTGGGAAGCTGAAACAGGAGGATTGTCACCAGCCTGGGCTTTGGTGTAAAACATTAAATAGAGATAGATAGATAGATAGATAGATAGATAGATAGATAGATAGATAGATAGATAGATAGATAGATAGATAGATACTAGCTCATTAAATGTGTACTGTTAGATTTAGTTGCTCAAACAACTGTATTGAGCCTCAGAAATGAGTAAACACTGTAATCAGGCAGAGGCGACCGAGGGAGCAGACTAC